ACTTACTGTGTTCACTAGCAGTAATTTGTCTTCCTCCCTCAAAATGAAGATATGAGAAAGCAAACATTAAACTTTTCTCATTTCTGAAAGTGATTAAAGTTTCAGTTTGCTAATTTGAGTGCTGCATGACTGCACAGAAAACTTAGTTTTATGAAGATACTCATTTGGTTTCAATAGAGTGAAACCATGAGCTCTTAAGCGTGCTGGTATCTAGCTCTTGTCTGTGGCTGCTCATCTTCTCCCGGGATGCAGTGCTCTGCTTACTGGTCCTTTTGGAGAGACAGGACTTGCCATACACAATGCGCTGCCCCAAGGACTGGTTTTAACACTGCCTTTTATAACCAGGTGGTTCATACGATGCTGTAGCCGTACACCTGACATTTTCAGCTCCTAAAGCCTGTTACCACTAAGGAGGCTCGTGGGAGATGTGCATATAGATGGAAAATAAAACATTTCCTCTCATCTTTCTCCCTCCATTCTGCCAAAGGCTTAAACTCAAATGCTAGCCAATGTGTCAAAGCCCTTCTTCAGCCTGTGGCTTGTTGTCCAAGTTCCTTCTTTCTCTCCTAAGTTAGCACAGAGTCACATGACAGTCTAGGTTGGCAGAGATCTCTGGAATTTACCTAGTCCAACCTTCCTGTTGAAAGCAGGTCTGAGATTAGGTTATTCAGTGCCCTGTCCAGGTGAGTCAAGTATTTCCAGTGAAGGAGGTACCACCACTTCTTGGCAATCTCGTTCAGTGTTGAATTGCACTCCAAAGCATTTTTCTTATACTCAGATGGAATTTCACCTGCAACAACTTGGGCCTGTTGGTTATTGTCCTGTCACTGTGCATCCCTCATCGTCTCTGTAACTACCTCTAGGTATTGCAAGACTGTGATTAGATCTCCCTGAGTCTTCTTTTCCCTGGGCTGAACAAACCAAATTCCTCCAACCCTCTGATCATCATGGTGGCACCCTTGCTGGACCTCTCGTGTTTTAATGTCTCTCTTGAACTGAGTTGACCAAAACAGGACACAGTATTGCGGATGTGGCCGAGCAACTGCCAGGTCAAGTGGAGTCATTACACCTTTGATCTGCTGTCTGTACTGTACTTTTGTCTTCACTGATGCAGGGCACCATTTACCTTTGGTGCTGCCAGGGCATACTGTTGGCTCCAGGGGAGCTTGCTGCCCACCAGGACCCCACAGCTCCTTTTCAGCAGACCCAGACAGATCCCAGTCTGTACTGGTGCTTGGGATTACTCCATCTCAGACACAGGACTTTATCTTTGTTAAATCTCGTAATTCCTTTCACATTTTAGATGCTAGATTCCTTCCTTTTTGATTTCATCTTCCCCATTTTTCTTGCTTAAAGACCCGCACATTTTGTAAATGCCCTTAAATTAGCCACATCTTTGTCATTTTAAAAGGTAGATCAACACCTTGGCTTTCATCAGGTTCCAAGAATGTTTAATTTCTCAAATTGAATCAGTCTGCAGAGAAGCTAGACCAAACTGAGCTTCGGCTAACATATTTTCTTAAAGAGGTTCTCCCTAAGTAACCGTCCATTAAGATTTAGTCAGTGTAACACCTAGTTTGTCTTGAGCCTCTTGAACTCTGACAGCTGACTGTGCTCATGGAGGTCATCTATGATGCAGTCATTTCATAGCGGCAATCTCACAATCCCAGAACCTGTGGATTTCACATGTCATAACAGACATGGAAAAGGCTGAATTTAAGAGAGTTTCTCTGAAAGCACTCTGTATCCCACTTGGAGCTAGACAAAGGTAGTAAGCAATGTCATTTTAGAGTAAATTTCATTGATTTCAAAATTTTGGATTAAATTAGAAGTACAGTATTTTCTGACCTGGAATATTTTTCTATCATTATCTTCATTAAAGAAAAATTAAAGTGAAATGAAGAATCGTTTCAGTTTTCTGCTTAGAAAATGCTGCAATGCAGTGTTTCAATGTAAGGATTTTTATTACAGAATCTTTTTCAACAACTAATTTAACATTCTCTCCAAAGAATATAGATTTTGAAAAGAATACACATTTACAGGAGTAACTGTTAAAGAATTTTAACGTGACTTCTTGTAATCTTTTTGAGCATACAGGTGGGCTCAGAGAAGACAACAATGAGTTAATTTATACATATATAATCTTTGATGGCGAAAAGTCCATCAAAACCTCTTAGATTTTTTTTTCCCTCCCACTGTTGCACGCGAGTGTCCCAGGAATACATAGATTAAACAAAAAACCCTATCATGGCATCCAGAAGCTCTTCACTGTAATGTTTGCTACCTGTTCACATTTGCAGTTTGTAAATGTTAGATGCTGTCCAACAAGCCACAAGTCAGTAGAACCACTGACTGCCAACATGTCCAGGCACTGCTTTCCATATACTCATCCATTTGAGCTTTGTCAAAAGGTTTGAGTTTGTTTTAGAGCCATTCGTGAAAAAGGAGTAATGTTAACTCTTTATATACAAATATTCAAATTACAAATTTTCAAATTTTGCTGAGAATTCCCTTTAGTTAGATGAAGAAAAACCTTGAAATACCTGCATCAAAAATTGGAAGTGATGTGAACATGCACCATTTAGTTCACTAGAAGATAGGCTCAGACGGTTTTAGAAGCTTTTATATATTAATTCAACCTGATTTCCCAAGGTGAAGAAAATAGTCAGAGAGAGGAGACAGGACAGAACACTTAGCCTAAAAGCAAACTAGGGAGCAAGAACTGGGATGAAGCAGGCTAGATAGATCGGCAGCTGCTACGTACTTGTATCTAGCAAAACAGCTGAAGAAGCAAGAACTCCACTTTTCCTAGCGGAAGGGAAAATCACACACCCTTGAAGGTGCAAGAGCGTGTCTGTTGGCTTTGCGCTCCACAGCGGTCTTGTCACTTAAAACCTTAAGGAATCAGCCAATTGCTTGTGAGTTTTCATTCTACTTTAAGCTCCTTACAAGTAACACGTCACATGGGATGTTTCCTCCAATTCAGGATCATGCAGGAGGTAGTCTACTCCAAGTTTATGCAGGACCTATCAGCTATGATCTTGCAACAGAAGAGCTGACACCAGCTCAAGCTGAGGAAGGCAGAAGTAGCTCTGGAGCATCGGTACGCAGCAGGACCTTAACACGGATTGCAATTGCTCTCCTCTGAGGCTCTGGGCAGAGAGGGAAGTGTGGAAGCCCCTGCTCATAGTGACTTTGAAGCCTTTTCAGGTTATAATGAGAACACAACTGCATGACCTGTGTCAACGATGCCACACTTCACACACCGATTTCCAATGTTCACACTTTCTCCCATTGCTTGGGATTTTGGTCTTTATCAAGAAAATGCGTTGGCTGGCTGGCAGAATGAAAGCAGCATTTGTGCTGTGGGTTTTACCACACTTCTGAAATCATGAATCATTTGTCCTGAAGGGCTTGCATTTTAGAGAAACCTTAAAGAGCAACACATCCTAGTGAGCCCCAAATACTACATATAGAATAGCAAACCACTTCTGCATTCCTAGATCCAAGAGTGGACAGTGACTACATCATGACTCCATATCTAAGTCCCAGGCATTCACCTGTTGCTTGCCACTTGTCATGAAATTAAACTTGTGCACCCGAGCTACAGGAAGTCGATGCATGTCAAATGAGAATGTCACTGTATGTCCCAACAGGTGTTAAGAGATGCAGTAAACAAGAATTGACACTCAGCTCCCTTCTTTTAAAAAACTTCCCTTTATTCTTCATAATTTATTCTTCTGATCTTTGAAATTAAAACACAGGTACATTCCCTGCACAGAAGCATTTATGTATCTTCACTCTTACAGTTTTCAGACTATTAAACAAAAACTCTCAATATATTAAATAGTAAAAAATTACTAGCATTTTCCCTCTATTTTGAGGATGGTCCTTATTCCTCTAAGTTTAAGGATATTGCCATGTTCAAAACACCAGCTATTCATCCAACAGTTAGAGAATCTCGAATTTTGCCATCCTTATGCAGCAAGCAATAGTGTTGGTTGTGGCATTCCCTGTGAAAACAGCACAGTTAAGGGAAGCTATTTTCTAGATTTGGTATTTAGTTGAAAGCCCAAGTGAAGTCCCAGTTGTATCAATGCACACATGAATTTTCCCATTTAATTCACTGTGACCAGGTTCAGCATGAGCAATTTTATGTTTATGAAATAATTCATAAGCAACATCCCATTGTGCTACAAGACATCTTCACCTGAAAACTGAGATTTAGAAGCCATTATTATTGTCAGTCAAAATATTTTAAATCATTCTGGTCTTCCCTTCATTAGACTTTGACAAACTTGGAATATTTTTGACCAAACCAATAGTGAAACAGTTCTGTTGAAATGCACATTTCACAGTCAGCTTGAGATATCTGAAATGGCAGTACCATTTAATGAAATTGCCACAAAACAGACACTATTGTTGTGCACTCACTAGTCAAAAATATTTACAGTCATGTCATGAAAAGTTCAGAATTCAGACGAGTATTTTCAGAAACTTAACTGCTCCTGAATTCCCTCAGATAAAGCTTCATAAAGTGGTGTAAAAAACAAATTTAGCAGTTGGCTTCCCAATGCTTTTAACTACAGTTCTGTGTACTTGCAGAAAAAAAATACTAATATTACAATTAAAATAGATTTTATGTTCTGAAAACATGAATAATCCCAATTTGTTTTTCACTAAGTGGCTGATTAACCACAGATACTCATAGATTTTTACTATGCTTACTGTTGGTATACATACAGATGGATCTATGCCACTCTAGTTTTTATCAGATAACAAATACCTATTTTGACAATCTACAACAGAACTTTCTGAAGTATTTCTAGAAAAATTAGCCAGTATTTCATCTTGTGATGAACAGAGACATGCTGTCTTTCAAAGGGAGTCGTGCATAAGCCATGCTGTAAGAACTCAGACATGGTCAGCATAAAAAATTCTTCATGACTCTTGAGGTACAGGGACGTAGCCAGAACACTTTGTCCCTTCCTACTTTCTTCTTATTCTTCTGAATCTTGAATTTTTTGAAGAGCAATGTCAGATAAGCCAGTCTCACTTTCCAGTGGACTTTCGGGGTGCAGGGCTAGTGCCTCTGTCTCTTTGGTAAATTCAGGGTCTTCTGTTCGGTCAGTACCATCATTTGGATCCACTTCTTTGGTAGCATCTGGACCAGGATCTGACTGTTCTTCGCTTGTAGAACTACCCTCTACGAGTTGCACTTCATCTAAACAAAAGAGAAATTGCTCATGAGTTTAGGAACACTAAACTCATATGCAAGCAAACATTTTTATTTTTGAAGAGTAATAAACACTAGGAAACTTTGAATCAATTAGAAGTGATTAATTTAACCAAGCTTTGTCAAAAAAGACCTAAGACACTACAGTTCTGCTTAAGTCGGTGTAAGATTACTCTGAAACTAACTCTACACAAAGCTCTCATTAATTCATCTTCAATTTTGCCATCCTCCTTTGTCATATGTAGAGGATCAGAGTAGGACACTGCAGTTATTTTAACGTTCGATTCAAATGTGCTTTATTGACACTACTCTTACAGGAGAGTTTTGTTTTTCTTTTTTTTTTTTTTTAAAAAGCAGCATGTAGTTCATTACATAGGAAGCATTTTTGCATATAACAGACTGAAGAAATTATTTGCTAATGAACTGTTGACCACAATGAACCAGCTGAAGTGAGTCATCCTGAAATTTATAACCTGGCTGCATGGAACAGAATTGGCTATTGCACCTTTACTTTTCAAGCAATGTTTTCAGAGAAAAAACTGTTTGCTGTAGTTCTGCTAAGTAGGGGCTGTGCGATCGCAATTCTGAAAAGAAAGAGGGGAAAGCGGAGGGGCTCCAGCACCTTCAGAAGGAGTTAATCTGGTTTCTTATTCTGTTATGATTGACAGGCAGCTGAAAACACTGTCACAGCTGGCCACAACACTGCCAAAGCCCTGCCAAGGTCTTATTTGGCTATGGTGCTAACTGCCTTAATCACAGGCTGAAGCACAGACTTCCTTAGCACTCACCCTCGTACAATGGAAACCCTTGAACTCTTGGTTTTCCTTGTAGTTGCAGCTGTGAGACTCCCCCCACCCCCCCACGATGTATAGGATTGGCAGAGGCTATTATTAGCTTTTTGAAATAAACTGCTGTTGATAAGAAGAGCTTTGATACAACACCATTCGCAAGGTGACTCTAAGCTACGATGAATTCACTGTCTTGCTAACAATGCACGATCTGATAAGGTCTATAGAGTGTTGGCCATGTAGCTGAAGAAGTTAGTGAAGATTAACGTTTACTACTGCACCATCTACATGTCAAAAAATGTTAGCTTCGCTTTTTAGGAAGGGACGGAGAACAGCTGTCCACCAAGATCCTGTCTCCACCTCTGAAGAGGGCAGCACCTGGCCACTGATTTGTCCAGTTAACATGTATCTGCAAGCGTATTTGTCACCAGTGTGAGGTATCACACTGCTCACGGCTCGTTATGTTTTGCTGTATTAGTAGGCAATATGTTCAGGGATTTCTAGTATCCTTGCCTCCAACTTCCATAGTCATCTTGATCCCATGCAACAGCAACTCTTGTAACTGGAGCTGTTGAAAACTTCCATAATTACTAATTTATTACTAATTTATATCCTGCTATAGTTTTTCCAGTCCAGCTGAAGTGAAGAATACTGCCATTTTAGGAAGTGTGATTTGTCCAGTGCACTTCTACAATCTTTAAAACAAGGGAAGCGGAATCTAATAAGTTGTAAAAAAGAAAAAGTGATTTCACCCCAATTTTCCTACTATTTCACTTAGAGAAACACTGTATCACAGTAAGTTAAGGGAGGGTGTGTGTGTGATACAGTGTTTTTTTTCTGTCATTATGTATTAATTTGCTTACTGAAGAGAGGAAAACACCATAACAATTTAAAGAGTAATGCTTTCTTCACATTCAAAGTACACAACACAACCTGGTACTGTGATTATGAAGAAGAAAATACTACAGGAGAATTAACATCTTCATTAACCTTTCCAACTGGAAGGAACGGGCTGCTTTCTTCTTATCCAACTTGTCCTAATGCCTCCAACAAAAGGTGGTGTAGCATGAAACCTCTGTACGATTTTGATTAAAGACTCGGATTTTGAAACACTGCAGTGTGATTCAGAATGCTTTAGTTGTAGAAACCTATGTTAACTCTGGAATTAGAAACCAGATTTCAGAAGTACTTAGCATTTATAAATTGAAAGACTAGAATTCCAACAAATGCAGGTATGCTGCTATGTTACAACAAAGATTTTTCTTTCAACCTCAGCTGTTAGAGATTTTAAGACTTTTTACTATTGTTCCTTGTGGTGCAGTTAAAGCAGCATTAGTTTCAGCAAGTAAACTATAGATCCTAACCTTTTTTTTGCCTTTTTTCTTGTTTCCTTTTTTCTTTGGCAGCTTCTAGTTCTTGTTTCTCATGAATTTCCTTCAGGGTCTTGCAAACTTTTTTATGGGTAAACCAGTGTATCTTCTGGCAGTTCTGGTCACAGTACATCACCTGAAAGTTACCAGAGTTATCAATTCATCTTTATGTACTAAAAAAAATACACAATATCTTTATGTACTAAAAAAAATATACAATGTTCTTGCATTTCTTAGTGTACCAAGTTAAATCTCTCCATGTATATTACTTAATGGTATTTTAAGCAATTTGGAAGGTCATGTGGAGTGATTCTAACCTATATAAAACTCTACAGTTTGTTTTGTTAACTCTAAACATAAATTTTACTCTTCCTTAATTCTTAAACATACACACTTGGGAATCCAAGTACTCCTATTTAGGAATTTCAGGCACCTCTCCCAGAAGAAGATCGCTCGCACATTTTCAGTGTAAGCAAACATGCCATTGCTCCTAAGTCTACACAGTAAACACCCAAATATTCAAAATCCTCAGCACCTCTGTGGTACTATTTTTTGTGATTTATTATAACTCTTTATGGATTCTTACCATTTTACATACTGAGCATCTTTTGCCTGCTCCCTTTCCCCCACAAGTTGTACAGAATTCAGCATCCACAAAACCCACTTGGCCAGTAATAGCTTGTGTAAGTACAGAAAAAGCTGTAGGATCAGAGCCCTGAAAGGTAAGACAAGAGGCAGTAATGAGATTAAAAACCAACACTATCGTAAAGAGGGACAGACAAGAGGAAAACAAAGCAATGCAAGCTTCCAGGTGGCCAGCTGCAGTCTCACTGAGGATGCCATAGCAGCAAGAACATGAAATTGAATCATGGAACTTGAACTAACATACGTGACCTAACATTTATATAGTTAGATAAATTTTTGTATATAAAGTTAATTTAGTCTTTAGCTTCTGTAGAGGGAAGGATAAAAATTATAATTTTTTTACTCTGTAAATTATTAATACTACTACTAATGAACTCAGTGTTCTTTGCACACTGTCATCCACTTGTAGAGTATATGCAGGAGGTTTTCGCGCATTAGCCTCTGTGCTGGCACACAGAAAGATATTTTGCGTGTCACTGACGTATTATCGTGCTCAGTGTACTCAGATACTGCAGACCAAATGGTGAGAACTCGGAATCTTCAAAACAATTATTTCCATGTTATTATTTAGATATTATTTGCAGTATCTTTCCCATGCAATACAAGCAGTAAGATTTAGTATATTTTCCTAGTAACCCTAAATTACGACTAGTCTTTTGGGCAATGATGTAAATATTAGAGGAAAAAAATGCCAAGTTGTTCCAGTTCTAAGTAAATCCTTAAACTGTGAGACTACCATGGAATAGGCACGATCATAACGACTATGACAATGCTGAGATGCCCAGATTTGAATCCAAGTAACTGTGCATGCCAACGGTCAAGGCCTTCCAGACAAGCGAAAATTTATAGCATCTCCTCCTTCGCAGTTCTGCAGAATGGACAGAAATCCAATGCAACAAACTGTGTTTCTTTAAAGGGAGAAAGCAGAAAAGACTGCAAGCTCTTCTAAAGAAAAAAGGGACAGGAAGGAAAACGTTTGTTCTAAAGCAAGTCTTAATGCATCATGATGGCTTATGTTTTCCCACTGTGTTTATTTTTCTGGCTTAGACAAACAGTAGGAATTGCATTAAGCCTCAGGACATTTTAGTAGACTGGAGCCACTTAAGATGGAGGCTATTTTTAATTCACTCAGCATATTCCAAACACATCACAAAACTGTTCCACTTCCCCAGTGTTAGTACATGTAACATCTAGTTCTCAGAGACCAGAGAAAACATTCTTAAAAAAGAATTAATAACTCTTGTCTAATATTTATTATGAACTAATTAACAGTACTATAATGAAGAGCATGTAGGCAAAGATGCATGAGGAAAACTGAAGTTAGATTTTTTTACTTGTGATCTTGATTTCCTAATTTAGATATACATTTTACTCTGTATTGCATCACTTTGCCTCTCCCTGTGATAAAAGGAGCTTCATAGAATGTTTTCCCTTTTCCTACCATTATGTATTTCCAACTTTTTGTGTACACTAGAAATGCATTAAATCTAGGAAATTATTTGATCTTAAATTGAATTTAGTCATTGTGAAAAAATAGCACAAAATGGGTTTCATCTGTGTCTGAATCTGTAAATTGTAAAAGCGAATTGGCAAAGAAAAACAGAATAGACATCCTAGAATAGGAAAAGAAAGCTCTGACGCATAAACAAACTGTTCCAATTTTCTTTAAAAGCTGAGGTATTTAAGCATTCATTATGGGTACAGGAAAAAGCCTGCTAGTTGAAGTATTTTAGAGCATTTTCCTGCAATACGTAAAATAAAATTCCAGTTTGCCAGAGAGTTCAGGGACAGTCAAAAAACAGTTGCTTAATATAATACATTGCAGAAGCTGAGAAGCAGAAAGATGGCTTAGTTCAAACTGAATTTACTACGCAAGTTGCTTAGAAAGTATTTTCTTGATAGGAAGAACTTACTATTTCAACAGGAGCGATACTTCTCACGAGCTGCTGGAGCAACGTAGCTTCACAGTAAGGAAACTTTCGGATACTTTCTCGAATGAGCTTCTCTTGATATACAGGGAAACCATCTTTCTCTCTCCCCTTCAAGAGACTAAATTTTTTAAAACCGAAGTCAAACAAGAAATCACACAGTAAATGTTCAGAACAAATACACGGCTTGCTGTGCCCTGTCCTCCTGACTCTGTCCTCTTTCAAATTACAGAGAAGAAATACAAGTCAAAACAATTTGGTAACTTCAAATGCAACAGTGTTTAAAACGCAAACAAAATTGGTTTTATTCTAATGCATAATGAAATAGAAAATAACCAAATGTATGCTCTGATGCCACTACTTACTAATTCAGCCACACAGAGAAAAATAATCATCTACAGGCAGACTAGTATCTGCATCAGACTGAAGCAGCAACATGCTTTGTTGCACTTTAAAATGAGTATTGTAAAAAGAAACACTGAAGAATACACAACACTTTAAAACACAAATTATGTTTTACTTACATTTAATAACGTTACAGTCCTGATGCTTCTATATTTATCTGGTTGGCTCCTACTTTTTTATACGGATCACTGATGAACTATTTGTTTTTAGTATGTAAAAGCTGATTTCATCATTTATTTTCAGTATCACGTACAAATCCACAAAGGTCTACGGGGAATGTGATCCTTCTAAAAGCCAGGCCATTTACTTTGATGCTTAAGATCAGGCAGCGGGTTTTGTAACTCTGAGTAGGTTCTGAAGATCTGTCTAAGTGATTTAAGAGTCTAAGTCTCATCCCGAGCCAGTGGGATTTGCAGTTCTTGGTTGCTTAAGTGATTTTGGAAAAAAATCTCACCCTGTATGACTGCTAGAGAGTAAAATGACATGACAGAATTTCCCATATGATCCATATTGGACATTGAGAAATTATTTTTCAAACCTATCACTCCCCTTTTTCTCCACCACATGTTGTGCTCTGCGGCTTCATAGTGTACGTGTGATTGCCAAGCTCTAACCAGTTCCAGCAGGGAGCTGAAACTCTAGGAAATGTTTCCTTTGTACCCCAGGAAAGGACAATGCCACTTCAGACAGAAAAAAGGGAGTCACAGTGCCACCCTGAAGTGACTGCAACTGAGATTATTTCAAAATTGGCTCAGCATAGCCTTTATCCACGACATTCCCATCTATTACTACAGTTGTCTTTTTCTGGTATCTATAAAGCTGGTTCATACATACACCCTCAGACCCCTCTGTAGAAATACCTACCTTTTGATAAATCCATCTAGTTTATCCTCTCGCTCTTTTAAAAATGTAATACACTTCTGGAAGATGCAACTCATGTAGTGCATTTTCATAGCAAGTACTTCATTCATATCTTTCTGCTTCATACATTTCTCACAAATTAGATCCAGAACCCTGTAACATTTCTGCAGTGCTTCTACTTCGGCCAATAGAGGGTTCTCTTTTACCAGCAACACGATCTATGAGAAAGATTAAAGAAAATGTAATCCAATTAGGAACTAATATTTTCAAACTTGTGCATTAGCATTAAAGGTTATATAGCTCATTGTAGCTAAAGTTCAGTGGAGTTTCTAATATTCCTCTATTTCCACCTTATGCAGTCTTCCTCTTCTTTTTTCAGTCATTATTTAGCATTACTATTTAGTATACTGTAATTCACAGTTCCCATACAAGAAACATTCAAAATTAAGTCTGGTATTAAAAATAATAAGGATTTTTCCAGAATAAGGACCTGAAGAATCAAAACCATTTCAAAAGAAAGTTACAGAAACTACCATGCACTGTCCTGAAATGTCTTTCCTTTTGAACATCTAAAGTAAACTGGACTTGGATGATTTAAGCAGTTTTACAGAATACATCAATCTCACATAATCTTGGAATACTTCAGGTAGACTAGTAAAGCACTGAACTAAACATTTTAAGAGGAAACTGTATACTCTAGTCACTAAATTAGCTGCCACTGGTACATTACTATTTCTATGTGTTGCAGATACCTGGTTGGCAACTGTTGACAAATTCCTGACTTTGAATGGCAAATCCAAAGAACTTGTCTTTGAATTTACATGTAGTAATTTCTCTGAACTGTATGGGAGGAGCAAACCATAAAAGACATTATTTGCAGCAAATATACTGGGAAGTAAAAATAAACATCTCTTGCCCATACTTTCAGAAACAGCTGCAGATGTTACTATGGTGAACCAGTGATGAAGGTAGGATGATAGATGCTGAGACAAGCATTGAGAGAACAATGAGATTTTGTTAAGATAGGAAATTGTTCTATGTTTCCACTTTGAGGGGTGTTAGGAAAAAAAGAAAGCCAAAGAAGCAAGCTATTTATGGTCACTGATGTAAAAACAAAGAATCTCTCCACTTAAACGTGTTACTTCAAGATTCTGGTGTATATAAACACTGAAATAGCTTCATTTTTTAAATCATGTCTGAACGTTGAGCCCAATTCTTTCTCATTTCCAGAAGAATCTGAATTAGTGGATAATGCTTTTGATCTCAGT